AGACATATATAATCATATATAATTACATATTTATATAAATGGACGTATTCATATGTAATTATACGCATGAAATTTGGTCCCGAGAAGTCGGATTGCGCGTGACGAATTTGTTCTTCCGCACAATGCGAGAATCACAGCGCGAGCAATAATTCGCGTCTTCGCGCGGAAGGGTCTCTCTTGGTGAAGATCGTGCCAGCTGCTCGCGTAAATGTAATTTATGTGCGCGAATGCGCCCGTGCGTGCGCGCGACGTCTTCACTTAGTCCAATTTCTATAGTGCCTATAACACCGCGGTGAAAGCCGCTGGCTCTTTGTTTTCGATCGATTAAGAACGCCCACCGTTGTTTGAACCACCACAATGTACGTTCGCTATATCGGCCATGTTTCGCTGCAGTCTGTTCGCAATATCTTGTAATATTTCAGAAATTTACTCGCCGACGTGTCAGCCGGCTTGTCAGCGAAACGTGGCGCGGCCGCTCCACTCGTCGCAAAGGCCGCATTGATCAATACCGACACAAACGGGATTTTCATACGCGGATATATTAAAAGTACAGTCAGAGTGAAACTATACGTGTCTAGCGACGCGATCACGACGGAAGGTACGACAATTTCAAGGAAATTAATTAAATTCCATGTCGACAGTATCGAGAAATAGTTCCTTTGACGGGGGCGCAAGGCCCTCTCTCAGTAAATCGATAGAATATGCTTTGTGTAACGAGTCCTTAAGGACGTTCTTCATTCTTTCCGGAGCCATGAGCCAAGGCAACAGGTTTGCTTCCCCACATTTTTACCTTTCGCTCGGACCTTCGGGCTTTTCTTCGCTCGACAGTTCCCGTCAGCACGTTTACGTTTACGTCTATTCATCGCGACGAATGGAGCGAGGTAGTCTTTGGAAAATTGCCTTTCCGTGTCTCCCGTAATACTCGAGATACAACCTGATGTGTAGCTTCTTTTTCGCGACTCGCGAAAGTGCTTCCGTCAAAGACAAATATTTAATGAAGGCCTTTGTGAAAACATAAAATGATACTCTCGGTCTATCCCGGAGATGGGAACGAAAGCAAGGGGTAAATCGTCACGGAAAACATTTGCCAGGACGATTAATGCGAAGGCAAGATCCCATTTCTCGACATAAAACAGAAAAAGGAAGGACTTTGCAGGCTGCTAGTAAATGGAATGGGCAAAGGACGGGGGCCCTTATACAAATTTACCGTGTGAAATTAAGGAACTTCGTGGCTTCGATAAACCACCCTGCTTCAACAGCTGAACTTTCGGTCTTATGGTTCACCGTTGTTTGGTAAAGCGTCGACTATCCGACTAGAGATTATTGCACGATGACGAAATCATTCGGTCTGACTTTGCGAATTTACATTTAATTGTTAACTATCTCGGGAATATGTAAATCACGACAACGACTATGAAGATACGAGGATGACGGAATTGTCGAAAATTCTTGAGGCACATATTTCCTAATTTAACTCCTCAAAGGATATATATAATTGCAACACAACTGTAATCACATCGTTGAAATTAGAATGAAATCCCATCATTTGCATTTTGATCACTCGCTCGTTCCAAGTAACACACAATGTCTGTAACAATTTTGTTTGATCTTGGTGTGATAACAATTTATGTATAAATAATTTTGTTTAATCTTCAAGATTTCCTCTCCGACCTTTAACAATCTTACAGTCGCGAGCACATTGTTCGCTCTTCATTCCGGCTCTTGATCTTCCCGATTACACGAATGCGTCAAAGTATTAAAAGTGATCGAGAAGGAATTAAAAGTGCTACAGCCCTATGCGTAAAACTGACCAGCTACGCTCCGTTTGATCCGCCATAATCTGCCATAATTAGAAAACGAGTGAAGCTAAGTGCAGCTGACGAACAATCGAGGAACTAATCTATTTTACATTAAGCCCCATTCTTCTGAGTTCCTCACAACGATAGAGGGATTCTTTCGCATTTACATTTTATTATATACTCATTGACAAAAGACTCACAGTCGATTTTAAATCCAGGTGCGGCGAACCTTTAACTTTTGCTTTTAGCCTTTTGCTCTGAGCATTGAGTTGTAACGTAATTCCTGGCAAAAAGCGTCGCCATGCGGTGCAATCAGACGTCATAATTCCGAATATTTAAGCGTCATTACAACCTCTGGCGACGCTTTTTGTCAGAAATTACTCCAATAAGTAAAATGTTGGCAATACGTCCGCAGATTGGCATCAAATTTGATTACAGTGGCGATCCACGGCCATCTGTGTTCGTATTAAGCTCATATTTCGCATGGAGAAAAATAATTTTGCTGTTCTAGCGAAACCACATCGTTGCGCACTGCGTATTCGCTGCGATAGCAATAAAATTTAATTCGCATAATCAAATTAGCGAATAACTCATAATTAGAGAAGAAACCGTTTTGCTACCAGGATAGGAAATATTCCGCTGAGTGAATTTGTTCTTAGGACATGTTAATTTGCAGTTGAAATAGTGTTTGTCTATTACATTTACTAATTTGTTGATTTAGCAAGGTAATTTAGTGAATGGCAATTAATATCCTTAACAAATCGCTTTACTATTCGTATAGTAACTGACAGATTTTGTTACGACAGCATAAAACTCGCTGTGCCAGCGAATTACTTTTCTCTGTGTGCCGACAGAATCTACTGACACATAGATTGACAGCAAATTGGCAGAAACCAAGGCAGAATTTGCGGTACGTTCCATTTAAATACATTTAAATAAAGGACAAAACGACAAGTCTTGCTTACTATGGAATAACAGTTGCTGCGCCGGCAAAAATGTTTCCCCGTGCAAGCTCCCCATAAAATTTACAGCGGACACTGCGCAAATTCTAGCTTCGCAGGTTCGCGCTCTCTCCTTCTCTTTCTCTTGAATATATATTTTATTATTTAGAGCATGAGAAGCTGAAAGCTTACCACACACCTATTCGGCCTGAAGCCTCAGACGAAGTATTCGCAGCGGGATGAGGAGGTGGTGCGCTAAAAATATAGCTTGAAAGGAAAAGCTCAGGCGCACGAAGCGCAGCTATGTTTTCGAAATGGCTTTGGCGCTTTAAAACCAATTGCAGGGGGAATCGCGACGATGCATCCGGGGTTCGTTCAAGCCGGTTTCTTAATCGACGTGAATTTTTCGATGGATTTTAATTATCCGTCGCTCATATGCCCGGCGGTGCTTCCAGCGCATTGAAGCCGTAATCCGTTCGATCAACCGATTCCCTTTGTATGCCAGGCTCGCGGAAGCTCTTTAAAAGCGTCGATCGTGGAACGAACGTACCGGGCGCCGGTGTCCTGAGAGCGAATCCTTGAATTTTCTATGTTCGAGCAAGGACCGTTCGGCGAATTGTCGAAATGCGAGCCGTTCGGACGCCGTCAGGAATTCGCGGTGTTATCTAACAATTCGCGCGCGATCGCCGATATTTCGCATGCACAAAGAGAAGTGGGCGTGTACGCTCCCGCGCGTTTTCCCTTCGAACAACGCCCGTGGTGTGTGGATGATGTATGCGCCTATTTTGCCACGTAAAGCCACGAAGAGACTACGTACTATTCCGCGGCGGCTGACGAGCGTAACAACGTGCGGCCGGCTCTGATTAAAAATTACACAGGACACGCGACACGCACGGAAAATAATCTTGAAACGCGTGAATGGTGACGGACAGTCAGACAAAGAGAGAGAGAGAGAGAGCTCGAATCTCTGCTGTTTATGCTTGCGCGGATTCTGCAAATCCTGCTTGTGTGATGATACATGAAATTATAATTTAATAAAACTGGTTTCTCCAAATTTTCCGCGAATTTTTTCAGCTTCTTTCGCGGGGATAGAAAAAATTCGCTTGGAAAAATCCACGTGTGAATTCGGTTAAAACTTACCACATTTGTTTTTTCCCGTAAAAAAGACGCACACTTAACTGAAGTTAAATGAAATTAATATGTTACATATTAAGTAATAATATTGCTTAAAGTTAAATAAAGTTAATATGTTGTATGTTAAGCAATAATATTGCGAAAGCAAGTGAATTTTTCCAGACGAATTTTCGGACCCTCATGAAAGAAAGACCACGGAAACATTGAATAAAAGCAGTTTCTTCCGAACTTTCAAAACTGACAATACACAAGATAAGATGCGGGTGCATCCTGAGAATCATTTCGAATTATTGTTTTTCCACATTTTCATCTCCCCCTACGTGTGAATATCCACGAGAATTATCGAGGTTATAATTAATTAAATGTTCCGGAATTTCTCGACTCGCTCGTAAACTGCGATAAAGCGACGTGAGATTGCGTTTTAGGCGGCGTATGTTCGAGATATCAGCCGAACATTCCTCCGACCGCAGCCACGTTGTAAACAAGTTACTCGCTCGAAATAGTCAATTATATCGTTTGATTAAAACGTGAATCTAATGGAAAAGAACGAGAAATTTCGATGGGAACCGTGCTGAGAAACCGAAGTGATAAAAAAAGCAATAAATTCACGACAGGAAAATTCTTTCCAGCACAGAAGACGACGACCTACCCAGCAAACGCCAATTAACAGTAACATTACATCGATGTTATAATTTCTCACTCAAATGCAAGTGCAATATAACATATGTTGCATATATAACAGTTACATCCCACATAACACACTTCATCCGAGAGACATCCTGGGAACATTCTTAAGACGTAGGACGACCCTTGGAGATCATTGCTTGTATGGGATTGTCGAATGGAAAATGACAACATGGCCGTTACTTGGGGTGTTTGCGGGGTAATCGTCGAATTCAATAAAGTACACGGAAATGAAAACAACGAACGGCAAGTGCAGGATATTTTCTATGCGAAATTTCACTTTTTCAGTTTTACACATCCTTCGTTAAAGTATCATCCAATATATATTAACCATAACTGGCAAAATGTTTCCTTTTTTTTCAAGATTAATAATTAATAATTAGTAACGGAGACATGGGCTATAAGTGGGCAGAATGCAACAAGCCGATGAACAAGGACTTACCGCTGGCTGGCGGATCTCGTTGACGATGGAAACGTAGAGGAGCAGGCTCACGAGGTAGTTTCTGGCGAACCCCATGTTTCCGGCGGATCAACCTGTCCCTCACGAAGCAGCGATTCTAAATGTGAGTACCGCTTCGGAACGTGTTGCCTCCTTATATAGGGATGCGTTTCAACCGGCGCAGGCGTTCCACCCCCCTCGCGTTCGCCTCTCGCCCCATAGCGCACCCACATACACGTAACCGGTAGTCTTCGTCATTTCTCTTTCTCCCCTTTCGACCGTGGACACGCATATCACCGACGGTGACGGTAAAACAGGTCGTTCCGCGAAAAAAAACCTCTCCTCTCCACGGAAGGATAAAAAAGAATGAGAAAGGCGAAAGGGTAAGCGGGCTCGTTTTGAGATTGCAACGCGGCCAATATTCATGCTTTCATGCTACGATGCTACGATGCTTATTGCACATCGTCCGACAGAGAGAGCAGAGAAAAAATAAAAAGAAGATGGAGAGAGAGAGATTTCCTCCAAGTACCCCGAAATAACGCCGTAATCTTTGTTGAAGAATTCCCGCTATTTACCCGTGCGTTTCCTCGGCAGCCATATTTGTCGAAGGGTTACAAAAATACGGTTCATTTGTAAAGACTACCGTTACCGACAGGGTATCGATCGACCCAATTAATCGATATCGATTGATCGACGTAAGTATTAAATACGGTTCATTTGTGAAGACTACCGTTAACGATAGGGTCAATCGATCCAGCTAATCGATATCGATTGATCGACGTAAGTATTATAATTGTATTATAATTGTATCGACTGATATCGCGATTGATGCAATTCGCTTGAAAATGCTACAAGATTTTAATAAGTTTAATTTTCTATGTACAAATTTTCTATGTACAAATAAAAAAGACTAATTCTTCTGTTAATATACCCAGTGAGCAAAAAATCATTAACACAACCTTATTACAATGACGTTTTGTAACATAATCATATTTTCAAATATATAGTTCAAATATATAGTTCTTAATGTTATGTACAATATTGTACATAATTTTGTATAATAATTATCACTGTTGACAATATTTGATCCAAACATTAAAAATAATATTTTTACACTATGATTTTAATATTTAGGAATATTATATTATCAAGTGAAGCTAAGCGGTTTAAGAACATTTATAAAATATGTCAAAATGTTTAGGAAATCCACATAAAATCAATGTTTCTAAAGATTGAATGTTTCTTGCTTACTGCGCAGATATTGTTCAGCAACATGGAGAATTATATCAGTATTGGAAATTTCGGACTATAAATATGTATAATTTATATAGTAATGACTCTCTTATATAATATACACAAATCATAATTATTAATTACACTTGATTATTTTTCATTTAATTATTACTTAATCTAATTTACTTGATTACTAATTATATCTAATTATTCTAACGAAATATATTTGCGTGTTTAAATATCGTAATAATTAAAATCGTAATAATTTCAGACGTTACACTTGAATCAAAGACCGCGCGATTCTGCAAAAGGAAGTAATACCGAAATAGAATTGCCCTTTATTGGCACTCTCCGCTTTTTCTGTTGAATATTTTTTCTCTCGTCTCTATAATGCTCGCTGTCGCTTGACTCGTAATAATAAGAGAATGCTTTTGTCAGATATTTATAGAATCGGACGGTAATATGATTACAGTATATTGCGACATTTGGAATCAAATAACGACCGATGATGTATCCAAATTAGCGTATTTTGGCGTGAAGTACATCGATTACAAGAAAAATTGAAACCAGAATGAAATTAAAGGGAATAAAAATACTTTCGCTTGCTTATGAAATACGTAATTGCAAATCTTACAAAACACTACATTACGTAATAAACTTTTCACGCGCGACACTTATTCCGAATAATTCACATTCTGTGTAACATTGTAATACGTACATTCACATTTGCAATAACAACACTTTATTCCGGATATTATCCGGATATCATCGAATGTAAATTTATCAGCTACGTGTAAAAATTCAAATGAACCATTTCTGCGCACAGTTATATGATTAAAAACATCCAATTATGATATAATCTTCAGCAAAAGCATCTTTGCAAATTTGCTCGAGGCAAAATAAAAAAAATGAGGAAAATCACTAAAAATTCTCATTATAGTCTGTCGCGCGCTCCTGGCGTGTCAAGGGATTTGCAATAAGAACCGGGAGATATCACGTAGTCTTATGACGTCCGTAGATGGTGGATCGTATTTTGATATACAGTCTTCTGGGAATCTAAAATTTCCGCTATAATTGACCGTATATTTGTCACACGAGTGCTGTAAGATCGATACCCCGAACGCGGAGTAAACAGGAAGCGAATAATGTGCTCAATCATCTTCCTCAATGCGTTCCAGGTAGGAGAGAATTGCGCAATTCGAAAAATTATTACAATGTGCTCATCGATATACATATAAAATAAACTATCGAACTTTGTTACTACTGAAAACAGTCTCACATATAGATATATAGATTGTAACGCTCATCGAATAAATTCAGTGAACAAATCAAATTATTACACGATGATTGATACAAATCTGGACAATTCGCCGACGCAAGAGCAAATAAATAACTCGGACGAATGTTACGATATTAATTTGACATATAGTACGTTCGTTCAAGAGGGAACATTTGTTAATTACCTTCAATTTGTATAAAATATCATTTTATTGTTACAAGACATACATTTACATGTAATATGCATAAAATTCCCTGTTATTTACGATAACTCCTGATAAGGAAATTCGGAAATTTTTCTCAACATCGCTCAATTATCGTTTGTTAAAAAAAAAAACCAAAAGTAAATTGTCTTTAGTTTCTCTCGTTTATGTCCACCATAAATTTGGTTTTAGTCTGTAAATATTAAAATAAACAGATCTTAACGTTAACGATATAGTAAACGTAAAAATTCTGAACATTTTTTAATGTAACAATTAGCGTAGATAACACACAGTTGAAATCGTCAGTACTGAATCATAATTCAGTTTTAATCGACCGTTCTTTTTTGTCAGAAAATATTTTATTTTTTAACCTATATTAAATAAATTTTGTACATTTAAAACGCAATACCTAGAAAACGAAATTAAAATTTAAACATTTGAGTTTTAAGAATTTGTGCGCCATCTGCAAAGCGAAGTAAGAAACTAGCTTGACTACCCTGTTTTATCCAACAGAATCATGACATAATAGCTATATACAGAATGTCGCAAAATTTATCAATATATAATATAAAATCATTGCACAATATGAGAGCGATTTAATTGGCGATTTAATTGGCTGCTTAGTTGGGACCAAGGTGGTTGTTCAACCTTTATAATTTCACATTAAATTTTCCATTATATGTTTGAAGAATCATGATCACGTGAAAGCCGTAATTGCTTTGCCGATCTCGACAATAACATTATGCTCGAAAACCTATAAAAAGAAACTCACTACACAAACATAGCGAACAATGTACAGCAGTTATTGTCTCCTATAATAAGAGATTCGATACTTCGATAAACATTTCCTTATCCGGAGATTGTCTTATGCTTAGCCCGATCGGATAATCCCTCATCATCAATCAGCTCGTTTCACTTAGCGACGATATGTTATAAAAACGAGTGCCGTCGAAGCCGGCTCTTACAAGTGAGAAGAAATTCATCGAATTAAGCCTGTTAAATTCGCTTTCGGCTCGTGACGAGTATGAATCAATTTTTAATTCTCGGGCACGTTCCACGAGAGTTCAATTTTTAATTTTCATTTCCTCAAATTCATCGATTTCGCGGCTTCCGCTCGGGCCGTGTCATTGCCTTCAATTTTACAAGCAATACAATTTTTTAAATTACAATTTTTTAAATATTATTAAAGCGGTAAATATATAACCTATTAATATTTCAGAAATATTACTTAATATTAAATAATATTATGCGCTTTTGTAGGGCTATTTTAATGCAAGTAATCACAATTAAAATATCGATTAATGTCATCTTTCACATATACGCAACCATTTTTATAATTTATAAGCTCAAAAACGGGTGTATTTATATAAATATATATAATCAACGTTATTTCTATTTCCGGTAAACTTGCTGTTTAGGTTTTTTCGCTTCTGATGTCATCGAACGAAGACAGCTACAGCAATCCAGGAGTCTTAATTCTTTTTTCTCTTTTTTGATCAAATGAATCTTAAATATTGCAAATTTATTTACTTACCCCTTGTGCTTCGCATCTTGAAGAGTATGCAGTAAATTGCATTAATTTATGCAGCTGATACCTCATGAGGACATTCGTGGAGTCGACGCGGAATCACCGTAGAATTGACTCTTTTATGTGGATTCGACGTGGGCGTAACATAGATGTCTTTGTGGGGTAGCATAAGTTGACAGGAAAACAGCTGTTCTATTTATCGACTCGAGTATGACCACGAAATAACTTGGTAAGTATGACAAATCACATCTACTTTTTACTTCGCTTTTTAAATCGCGCACAAATTCTTAAAACTCAAATCTTTAAATTTTAATTTCGTTTTCTAGGTTGCGTTTCAAATGTAAAAAATTTTTTTAATAGAGGTTAAAAAATAAAATATTTTCTGAGAACAAAAGAACTTTTCGTAATCTCAAAACTTATGAAATGTCTGTCAAACATGTTACGCATACATGACTGTCATGGCCGCCTGAGTATGACTGAAAAATGACCCGTTATTTCAGGAGTCATTTTGTGATTCTACGTGACATATCGGGCAGACATCTCAGTTTGCCGCATACGTTACAAGTTTCAGGATTACGAAACTACTGTTTTTTTTTCGAGGAAAACTAGAGCTATATTCTGTAAAAAACTTATTATCATATCTCGCTTATGACGTAAAAACAATATGGCTGCCCGAGAAAGGCGAAGTTCGGTTATTTGAAGAAATAATCACTGACGATCATTTGGTCTCATGAAATGCTTATTTATAAAAGAAGCAATCGCTGTATTTGTACAGGAACAACGTAGTATAAATACAACATTCGTAATTTAGCCGCATGACATTACCAAATTCACGTAATATATATGTGGTGAACAAACAATTATAAATTCAGACATACACGAGAAAAAAAAACTCTCATGGCTGTACAAAAATATGAGCAAGCGTTACGTGATCGTAAGACCAATGTCACAAAAATTCAAAATAGCACAATAACTTTAAAAAAATAATCTGAAATTCAATAATTGTCCATTTGGTTTCTTTTGCTTTTCTTTTTTGTGCCCATTTTTATTGGTATTTTACATAAATTTGCAAACGAAATTGACAATCCAGATTGAATAATTAATAGATTTTTTTCCGATATTTAGATATATATATATACAAGTTGTACCGCATCGTGCTACACACAGGCATGTAAAACAACTATTTTGATTAATACAATATGTAACGTTCGTGGCAAATGTTTTAGGACTGTTGCAAATGAGAATATAAATAGATAAGTCTCATCTAACTAATATGCTTGATCAATGTTTCAAGGTAAAACTAATCTAAATAATCAGTAATAAAATATTAATTTAGTGGTAACAACTAAATCAAGTCAGACACAGCGGAGAGAAAGTCCGTTACGCGATTACACGACGCGAGTGAGAAATCCGTGAATACGTCATAGTGTCAGTATACAGCGGACGTTATGACGGATAAAGCGATTTCTAGGTACGTAACGCATCAATACTAAACATCAGTCATATTGAGTTAGCTTAGAACCGCTGATGTGCCTTTCCGTTGCGGATCTAATTCTTATTTTCCTTTGTGATGAGCTTGCTCGTCATAGTCTCGTGGTACACGTCCAACAGTTCCTGCGCGGTAAGTTTCGAGCAGACGCTCTTGAAAATGGTGAGCAAACTCTCTTTGGATACTTCTTCATTCTCGATCTGCGCAGCATTAAACTGAGACGGCCTGAGACGGTCCAAGATACGCCTGACCCGATCGGGAGATTGAGCACTCAACGATCGTGCTATATCCTCCGAGCTGTTATTCTGCAAGGCTATGTCTAAAACCACTGACGACGGAATGACCTCCTCGTTCGCTACAGTATGACTAATAATTACGTCCATTGGTAATCTCTGTAACATAGCATTTAAACTCGATATTTCCGGTATCGGTTGTTTGATACCTTCTTGTTCCTCCCGCTTCAGCTTCTCCGACAACATTCGTACGAGGTCCGACGACGTGTACTTTTGGCAGATCGCGTTCTCCAATTCGGTGCAATCGAAGATGTTCAGACAGTCGACGATATTCAGCTTCTTGTGGTATGCTTTGAATACCTTCTCGAAGAATTTCTTGTCGGAATTGAAAACGTCGGGCAGCCTGAGGAGGACATTGTTGATGCCGTAACTATGGCAAATCGTTCTCAATAACGCGTCGTTGAGCTGACGTTTGTTGTGCAAACCGAGCATTCTCAGAGTTTCCTTTACCAGTTCCGCTTCCGACAGCTGTGTCATCTTCATCTACGGACGAATTTTTTACCCGATAGAGATACGATCGAATGTATCGAATATGTTGATCTGTTCTTTTTAGCCGAACTGGCTGCACTGGTTCAAGAAATTTACGACCGGGTCTGAAAGTCACACGAGTCGGAAAAGTTTAATAAAATATCAAAAGACCATGTTTAAACAAATTATTTGTCTTGTTTCCTCTACATAAAAGACATGTGACAATTGAATCAGAATATGGGATGAGATATCACCTCTGTACGTTTATAATTAAAATAACTTCTTTGTGCATAAATATATATAAGATTAATATTTTTTTTTTCTTTTACTTAAAGGATATGACTACATTATAATGTACATAATATTACGTACAACTTTTCGATCAATATGTAAAAAGTATGGTAACCAGACTCGGTCTCCCCCACACATGAAAGCGCATGAAACGTACGTACGAGATTCTCACGTTTCAGTGTGCGTAAATTTTTTGAACCGAAGCACAGCCAGTCAGCTAAAAAGAACAGACCACGTGAGAAGCAAACGGACTTTACCTTGTACTGTGATAAGATAGATTCGGGGCTACATCTTCTGACTGCACTCTCCAGTACAACATTCACATCGATTTCATCAAGTAGGTCCTCAAGTGCCATCTGAGATTCGACGGACCTCGTGACTTTCTTAACAGCCGGTTCTGAGGAATACACCTCGTCGGTACCGACACCAACGGACGAGTGCGTGATCAGAGGCTCGTTACAGACAATTGCTGACACATTTATACTGTCACTTGAAGGAGCATCAGTTATGGTTGTGCTGAAACCAAAACGAGAATAATATTCTTGTTTCACATCTTATAATAATATAGCCTAAACAGTGTTACTATAAAAAATAAATTCTGAAATCCCCCGACTTTCCCATGTCTTCCAGACAGTGAAGAATTTTTCACAAGTAATACGTAACATTAAACTTGAACGTCTAGAAACAGGAATTGCAGGAAAAGTTAGCTTAAATTACTAGAAGAGCAAAACAAACTTAAAAATTTAGTAACGTAACATGATTCTGAATGCAATTCAGGTCAACGAAAGATAAGTGAATACTGGAAAAAAAAAATAACACAGGGAATTACAACACATTTGAGGAAATTGTAAGCGAAGTTCAAAATTCCAGATTTCTTTTAGATCTTTCTCCGACTTTTCCACGCATTTTCCCCGACATTAAAAATTCCCACGACTTCCCAGTTTTTCGGTCCTGTGACCCCTGCTAAAATATATCTCACGCACGCATAAAGCCTGTATCAGACTACAGATTGAAGATTGAGACTGAATTGAAATTCGATCAATCAGTGTAGAATTCATTAAATTTCACTAAACTTGAGTTTCGTTAACTTTACACTGATTGGCTAAATTCAATTCCGAAATTATGTTAGTTCTCACCGCCTAATAAGGACGAAAGAGAGCTGACTGGTACGTACAGACTTTTGGAGACCGACGAGGTCGCGATGGGCAGCATCGTTGGTTTGCCGTGCCTCGCGGATTTCTCGGGCGAGCTGTGAGCGGTGATTGGCGCTTCCGCGCCTGTCCGCTCGTTTACCGCGCCAGTATCCAACGCTGACGAATCCGCGTTGTCGCGTTTCGCCGAGGTATCCACGAAATAATCGTCGCAGATAGAAGAATCTTCGTTGATAGGATCGGTCGTGTCCAAGTGTTCGGTGAGCGGTCTCTTCGTCGACGAATGATCGTGCAACTTCCTGGCGGATGCGAGCGGCGTGCTGCACCTTAAGGTCTCATTGCCGATTGGCGCTGCCTCGATAGAACCAGGCGCGGCTAACGCGATCGTTACTTCGTCCAGCGTCCTTTTGTCCAATTGCTCCGTCCTGTCGGAGGGTTTCTCTTGTGACGTAGCCGTCGGACCGTCGTCCTTGCGGCTCGCGATTTCGAACGTGCTCTGATAGCGTTGCAGCACCTTCCTGACGAGTTGAATCTTCGATTTGCCACTCAGAGGCATTCTGTTGACCTCGCGCTCAGACAGTTGCGCGAGGTCACCGATCGTGAACAGATTTCTATTCGTAAGGTACGTCTGCAAGTACTGTCTCCACAGAGGGGTGGTCAACTGTTCGATGACAGCAATGATGGATTCTCCGCACGATGACAATGCTGGATAGATAGGCTGTACGGAATCCAAGAATTCAGGATCGAGCTGCACGTTGTTCTGATTCTCACATCGGCTGTCTTGGCTCGACGGCAGGCTCGCGAATATCGAGTCCGTTACCGACAAAGTGTCTTGTTCCGCCACGTTCTTCGCGTTCCTCGCATTCCGCTCATCCTCGCACGTGCTGATGCGCGGCAATTTCTCACCGAACACTTCGTCCGGGTCCACGGTGGAATTCAATCCGTCAATATTCTGGATGTCCACCGTATCTTCCAGATCACCATCCTTGGTAGGTAAAGCAGTATCTCTCAGAATTTCCAGATTATCTTCATTATTAGGTAAAGCAGTATCTTCGAAATCTTCCAGATTAGCCCCATTGGTGGGTAAAGCAGTATCCCCCAGACCTTCTCGATTATCCTCATTGGTAGGTGAAGCGTCTGCTGTATCTTTCAGGTTTTCCGGATTGTCCTCATTGATAGGTAAAGCGTCTGTATTTTCCAGACCTTCCACATTATCCTCAGTGGTGGGTAAAGCATCGGTATCTTTCAAACCTTCCAGATTATCCTCATCAGTAGGTAAAGCATCCATCAAAGAATCATCAAGATCGATTAGTTTAACCGAGTCGACCGAGTCGTCTCGAGCGGACAAGTCGATGTCGTCGTCAGTGGAGTGGATAACTGAACTATCGCTATTCGTCTCCGATCCGTCAAAGATGTCTTGCTGTGTCTCGGAATCACCGGTCTCGACGCAGTCCACCGGCACAGTGCTCTGCACAATCTCTTCGTGAAAACTCGCTAACGACTCTTGATTTTGATCTAGGACATAAAAGGACAACAATACGATCACGGTTATCTCGACCTTCTCATCCTCATCCTCATTATCATTTTCCGCGTTAGATTTGCTTTCAACTACATTGCTATTTCCCGAGTAATTACTAGGCATTGATGTTTGCCCATCAACACCCACTGCGTCCGGATGCGCCTCGATTTTTATTACTAATTTCTCGTACGCTTTCTTACCATGCGGAGCAATTTCAGCGTTAATCTCGCTGGAAGTGTCTTTCTCAGTTGTCGATTTCTCCGCGTCAGCCGATGTAAACTTGAGCTTGGATTTCTTAGACCGTGGGGAATTCTTCTTCGGCGTGAGACTGCGCACCGTAGAGAATTTCGAGGACTTGTGTGGAGACTGCGCAGTGGAAATCTCGTAGCCCATCTCTTTCGACACCGGCGGATCCGCAAAACTCACTCGTTTTCGCTGCAAAGGAAAACAATCTTTCATCAGGATATGATAGCTGGGTGTCTATTTAAATCCAAAAAAAATTTCCAATTCCCCGATTTTTCAGGCAATTTGTTAAAAATTCCAGATCAAATAAAAGTATTTTTTAATATATCTCAAATGAATATGTATTTATTATGCAGTCCTTAATATTTTTCATTCATAAAAGTTTATAAATAATAAAATAAAATTAAGAATCGAATTGCAATGATTAAATTTGAAAATTTTTGAAAAAAAAACCCATAAGGACTCTAAAAAATAAATTTTATATTGCATAAAATTATTAAATGTTCATTTTAAAAGTTAAAAACAAAAAAATTATGTAATGCATAACCGGTAAAAAAAATGCAACGTTTATAAAACTATTAAAGTAAAAAATATCTAATTAATCTTAATTATAAATAATCTTAATTAAACAAAATTGCACCTAACACGAAATCGTTGTTTTCAATATTGAATGGATTAATCGTAAAATCAATGCTGTAAACATAAAAACAACATAATTAAATATTTATATTATATAAATAGATGTAACATAGTACAAAATATCTGTACGTCAAGATGTACACGTAGAACAAAAGAAATTATAAACATAAAAGTGCTAATATTTAAATATTAAACTTAAAAACAATTTTAAATGTATACGTACACAGAATATAAATAAGTTGACGCCTATGATTTGTATATATATAGTGCTATTCCTTATTAATCAATATTAAAATAAAAATTAATTAAAAAATCAAATCGAACATTCTCAACTATTTTCTCTGATTCTTGATGAAAAAAAAAAATATTATTAAATAAAATTTAATCAACCTCACAATATTCGTCCATAAGTAACGCGATATGGCTTACAGACGAATACCCATTTAAAACTCCTCGATTCCCGAAAAAATTCCTTGATTTTTCCAACCATAAACAAATTCCAAGGTTGCAAGGAAAATAAATTTCGAAATTCCCACACTTTTCCATATTTTCCAAACGACAATGGAGAATTTTCCATGAGCAATATGTAATGTTCAACTTTTAAAAGCAGGGGTTGCAGGAATGATAGCTTATAAAATTAGAAGCAACACAAACTCGAAAGTTCAGTAACATAATCCTGAATGCAAATTTAGACCAACAAAAAAATAAATGAGTATTAGAAAAAAGAATACAGTTGATAACATTTAAAGGAATTGCGAGCAAAGTTTAAAATCCCAGATCTGTAGCGACCCTGAAATTCCGTGAGAATTCCAGGTTTTCCAGATTTTTCCAAGCGGACAATAGACACCCTGGGTGGAAATAAGTAGCACGAATTACCTTATTAGGATGTACAGAATCTGGATCTGGCTCTGAAACGATCAATCGATTACGTTTGAGAATACTAGCGCTCGGTGATGCAGTCAACGAGGGTGGGTTAGCGCTCGACCATTCCAATATCGGCAGGTCGTCCTTGTCGGACAAAAACGACGCATTCTCTTCGTTTTCCTTGTCTCCCGAGTTGTCTGTCGATACAGAATCTGAAATATCCTTATCCACTTTGGACGGCAGTTTTTCGCCGTCGTTCTTCAAGCCGGAAAACATGTACGTCGACGGACACGCGTAGTCATGTATGGACCTCATATTATTAAAAATCTTCTCCTGCCGACTGCCGGATGGCCCGCCTATCTTGTCGATCTCTTTAACCGTGGGAACCTTCTTACTCGTCGACGCTTCAGTTTCCGCATCCTTGCCTCTCGACTTCTTGATCACCGAGTCATCCTCGGCAACAATTACATTATCTGTTTCGATTCGCGACTGTTTCGTGACTAAACCTAGCATATGAGCGGCGCGTCCGTGAACCGTGAAAGATTTAAGCTTGGGGAAAACCTTGCCGCTGCCTTTCGGCGAGGAATAAGTAATTACACCCGCAAGCTTGGTCGAACCGTCGACTGCCTTCTGACTCTCCGTGCTTGGAATTTTCGCGTTGGAATTGTCAGTTTCTTCAGTCACGTCCTTATTCGCACTATCTTTATTCCCTGCGTCGCTCGTCTCTTTATTATTATCAATAGTAGCTTCATTTGGTTGCTCACATGGACCAGGCACATCGACATCACCGCAATCCACGGGGATAGATTCAGGTACATAATTTTTCTCAACGATCACGTCGGAAGCTTTGATCGCGTGAATATTCGGCATTTTATTAATCTTTATGAAGCACTGTTTCTCGCCGCATATTTTATCTATTTTTATGACGTTGAGAGCCTGCGAACTTTCAACAACATCTTCTATCTCATCCTGACTCGACTCGTCCTGTTCGGAGGTAACTTTGGAGGTATCTTCACTTTTGACAGAGATAGATTTCGAATCATCGAGCTTTTCATCTTGCATTCTGTCGGTAACATCTTGTGCCGTTTGGCTGGTCGTTGGGACCATTTGCGTCGTATCCGTGTCCGCCGAATTCTTCAATGGTACTTTATCAGTATCACTGGCTTTCCTAGCTTCTTTATCTTCTTTAGCCAATTCTTTAAACTTCTTTAGTAAGTCAGACTCAGTGGGCTTCTCAGATTCTTGTCTGATACTTCTTCTACTTCGTCTCTTAATAAGTGCTCCTTGACTCGTATCATTCCCTTCTTTTGCGTCCTTTGTATTAACTTTTTTTAACATTGTTTCTTTGTCCCCTTCATCCGAATGTTTGATTCGACGACGATTCACCGCGTTACAATCAAATACCATGTCAATTTTCAAGCGAGACATCTCTTTTTGCACACGCTGACTCAAGCCATCCGTGTCCATCGTATCCAACGATGTATTGTCGCTATGTCGCAATTTATCCTTATCGTCGTCATTAACGTCTTTAGAAAGCGAAATCATTTTCCGCTTTCGACGTTGCTGCAGAACTCTATCCGATTCGGTATCCGACACGTACTTACGCTTAATACCTTTCTTGCTTTCGTTAGATTCTTCCTTGATGTCAGTGTCATCGCACGGACTCCGAGAACTGCTCGCACCGGCTCTTCCTTGACTATGTTTCATTCTCGATGTTTTCTGTACATTTACCGTACTTGAATCTTTCTGGTTCTCGTCAGCCTCGTCACTTCTTAACGACAAATTCGATCTTGCCGTATCGACTTTATCATTACGATGTCGTCGCTTAGCGCTATCGAACATTGACGGTGACGATTGCCGCTCGTGCGTTTTATCTTCAGGAAATTCCTCTTTTGACTCAAAATTTAATCTTTTTGTAACAGATGTTGTTGAGTGCACGTCTATCTCGTTGTCCGGTTCTGGAATAAATCCAGTGAACAATGGCGAAGTCAAGTGGGTTTGTTTAGACGTATTCTCATCGTGCGAGTCAGAATCTTTTCTCTCGGCTTCTTTCGTCGAATCTTTCTTTTGCTTCGCATCAATGATATTATCCCCGACGTTTCCATCTAACTTATTGCTATTGTTATTATTAATCATCTTGTCCATCAAATTAAGTTCACCTTGCATAACGATGATCTTATTTTCTTTGTTAGCATCATTATTAATAGGTTTCTGTGTTATTAAGTCGTTCTTTTTATTATTGGCTTTATCCAATTCGTTAATATGCTTAGCCTTGATGTCGAACCATTCCTGCAAGTTTTGGGTATTTTGCGAGGACGATTGAGACAGATCATTGTACAATGCCGGTATATCTTCTCTCTTCTTTTTCAAGGTTTCCTTTTGGTGCTCTGTCAAACGATTAATGTCAAATTTCAAATCTGTTTTTATGTACACATAATCCTGAAAGCAAATTTGGACATATGAAGAATGTTGTACAAAGAATTGTAAGAATTACGTAACGTGGTATAATATATAGTAAACATCACTTACTTGCGAATCAGGTTCAGGCAATATAAGTGCATTCTTTTCGTCCCTCTCTAATGGCTTATTAGATGCCGACTTCGTATTAACTGGTTTCCTATTTAAGAAACTACCAACTACACGCACGTCTTTTACTTTTCCCGTTTCTTCCTTTTTCTTTGCAGAATCATCACGTTTCGAGTGCGATGGCGACTTTTCTATCATTCCTTCTTTCTCATCTGAAATATACTTAGCAGTACTGCCTGAGCCATCCTCATTTCCAAAAACAGACCATGCTAAAGATCTTATGTTTGAGTTAGAATGTTGTATGGCTTTTAAAACTACTTCTTTATACAACGAGAAAATTTCCCGATGTATCCGTTTGTCAAGTCCTCTAAAAATGCTAATTACAGTTTCCCAAAGGCTTACAACCTATAAGTAATATTGCCAGTTTAAAGAAAACTATAGATAGACGAGTCGAAAGAGATGTTCTGTATGTAACAATATTAACATACTTCTTTAGAAAGTGTCTTCAACTGCAATTCAAGTACAAATTCAATTGCTGATTTACAAATTTGCAAATATAGCACTGCTTTATGCAGATTATGTCCATATACAGTAATAAGCATAGCCGACAACATCTTCAAAGTTACTTCACAGTTACTGGTTTGCATGTTGGTAAGAGCAATTGTTACTACATCTATTATTAATTGCATGATAGATGGAATTCCATCTTGTACTGAAACACATAAATTACAAAAAAAATGCACAATATTCAACTCAACATTATTCATTCATTATATATATATTCAATGACACAATTGACTACATACCGAATAAATGCTCGTAATTAATGGTACCCAATAAGACATCTAAACAAAATACAATGAAAGAACAATTGTTTTTGTTTAAATAAGTCTGAATCATACTTGCGATATCCAATAAAATCTCGTTTGGTTTCACTGTACTTATCGAACCTGATTGTATCTCGAATTCTTTATATAAAGATTTCCATACTTGCCCATATTTACATTTTCGCATTTCACAATCTTGCAACTGAGAAATTATTAATACATAAGAAAATAGCTACATAGCTCATTAAATATACAATAAGAGAAACATAAAATTCTATAAACCTGTTGGAAATTTTCCGAAGCTATACATTGAAGTGGGAATAACAAAACCGACTTCACAGTCTTAAAGTTATGTCCGTTTTTATCACCCTCATCGATCTTCTTAGAATTTGCTGTATACTTTGTCAATACCGTCGCTATTACAGCCCACAATTCTATGTAAAATATCCTGCAAAACATTGTTTATTGTCAAATATCTGAATATATATATGTGTTATAACATGTATTAATATGTACATACATACTATATATAATTAAAATTTCCCGTACGTACATATTTTCACGCGTATCACTCGCTGACTTCAGATTTGACATTATTGTTTGCAGACATCCAAACGTATGCGAACATGTAATTTCTGAACTAATACACCTCTGAAGAAGGCACTCAATATCATTGCAGCAGAAATTCCTATGATATGAAGATAATAAACGTTTAATTTACGCAGGATATGCCAGCGTATTCAAATTCAAGTCGTCTGAACTATACTTACTCTGGCACTTCGCAGAGTACTGGAAGTGATAACAGTTTCAATACCAACTCTGGTAATGCGCTATCAACAAACGCAGAAGCCTTAATGACTCGAACAAGATCTAGCAAAATTACATTGAAAATCATATCTTTCACCATGGATTTATCAAAATGGTTTCCCAATTCAGTTACAACTAGTATCACATCTCTAAACAGATGGTCCTGCAAAATTCCGCATGCAAAGTAAATTCCTGATAATTATTTCTTTTATATGTGTACACACACACACGCGCGCGCACACACACACACACACACACACACACACACACGCGTATGTTTATAACATAGTAATACGAAAATTAAATATGTGCTAGTAACCTTATTCTCAATTTTTAATTCTGTGATATATATCATTAGGCTTGTCCATAATATTTTTCCAAGCTGAAAACGATTTTTCATTTCTTGATCTGTGAGTTGCCCAAGAATGAGTATTGCCTCTCCTATACTGTGAGTAATGCTTTTGGAACACTCTTGAAAAACTGGATGAGTTATAACATGAGGGAGCCTTTCTTCTAACATTGCAGCGCAAACTGTAGAATTCTCTCCCCTTGAAACAATCAACTGATACAAGGCATCCACAGCAACCAGCTTTGTCTTTAGAAATCTTTTGCCTGGAGAGGCAACAACGTTAAATTTGGAGGAAAGTAATGGTGTATCTCCGAGCGGCCCGAAGCAGAAGTTTAGAAATTGCGTGATAACGGGAGTAACAAACTGCGTGATATCTTTGTAAAGTTTGATAATTAAATGCCACCAAACTTCTAATTTCGTCAACGAGATTAATTCCGTTTTGCTGTTCTTAGCGTTTAATGGAATACAAAGTAATTTTATTCTTCTGGCAGTAGCAAGTTCTTGATAGTCTAAAGCGAAGTTGTCGATCAATAATTTCCATGAGAGGAAAGCTTGTCTGCAATACAGTTAAGAAGAGCTATTAATTCATAATGAAAAAAAAAAATTGCTTAAACTAAAAACTGTAGTTTTTACCTGCGTATAATGGTATCGGTAGACTTGAAAGCCTTTTCTTCGACACTAAGTAAATTATTTATAAGATTAGCACCACGATGAAGATCCGTACCAAGAAGCTGGATAGTGACATTCCACTGAATGCTCCAATCAGTTTCGCACGCTGCTACCAAGAGCAACATACGTTTACAATACAAAGATTGTATATTTGTTTTATACTGAGCCCATTGTTCAGAATGATTTTTACGAATACGAAATGAGGAATTAGTTGCGATAGCTTGCTGCAAGACTTTCAGAGCAAATGAACGCTGACGTTTGTGTCCCATGTATGCCAATGTTACAATCTTATCCATCAATAATATATCAAACTAAAACAAAAAGATAGCATTTCTAATTTTTCAGTTACAAATTTTAATTTCAAACATCATTCAGGATACATAATTATGCATGTTCATACTTTCTCTATGTTTGGATCAAATGTTACAGCAGCCAGTCTGTATAATCTTTTTAGAAGATTAAGCGAATAAGCGACTGTATCCTCTTCTAATTTTTGTTCGTCCGATAATACATGATGTTCGACCTTAGTCAACATTTGCAAATTGTCTACGCATGCTGTTGGTGTTATCCACTCCATTGAACTAGGCTGTACACTGATCAGACATTCCTTAAAAAAATTTACAGCCTGTCCATCATTGACAGCTGCAGAAATAGCATTGTCTTCTATTACCTCCAACAGCTTAAGTATTTTTAATCTAAAACCAAAATGAGAATAATATCTGTGTAGAGGTCTAGGATACTCTCGCACAGAGAAGTCGATACATAGCTGGGTAAATTTTGAAAGGATGAATTTAACAAGACAAACCTTATTCGCTTATCTGTCTGCAACATTAATTCAAAAAGGTGTAAGGAATGTGCTTGAAATTCTTGCACAATGGCAGTAAGTGCTCCTAATGCCTCATACTGCATACTTCCTTCTTCCTTTGTAAATGCTTCTATAACCAACTTGCATAATTCTGTATATCGTTCTTCTTTAATAACACCACTCGATTCTAATTTCTTAGCTTGACTGCAAAATAATCATTGTTATTTTGTCATATGCAAATACTATTAAATCCAATATTACATTAAATCTTGTTATCTAGCAGAAACATATACATACATATGTATATACATAAATATATACATATTCATGTATATGGATATATAAAATTAATATAGCATTAATCATGAATATATTAATTGTGAGTTTTATAATTACAAATTTATTTGTTTGATTGTTAGCCCCTATATATACATATATATGTAATATATAACTCAACCAACAAGAGAGTTGGTCCTGTAACAATAATGAGAAATTCTACGATAATAGGAAAATGTAATACAAAGATGTGTGTTAATAAAAATGTTGTTTTCCATATCACACATCTATGCTCCTTCGCAAATTTTCCTTTCCCTCCTTTCTCCCTGCACTTCCTGCATTGCAAATATAAAAAGTGCAACATAAAAAAAGAAGAAATCGAAAGAAGAGGGTTTATCGTTTCTGACGAATTTTCTAGCGATTCTGTAACGCCATTCGTACGCCTCGCACACACACTCACCCACCCACACACACAAAGGGGTTTTAAATTTTTGTTGACATATTTCGTGTCGTAATCACTCCGTTTTACGCCATGAGACGCAACAACGATCGCCATACCTCCTATCGTATTGTCATGTATAGGAAAACCCAATGGGAACACGATCCTAATACTTTACCTGGAGATATAGGTTAAAGCTTCGCGCTTTTCTTTGACACTGCTGTTTTCCCGCAGCGTCTTCATCATCCTCGAGAAAATCGTAGTCGTGTTCATCGCCATCTCGTCGCGTCCTTCACCTCCTATCCCTTTTTCTTCCTTCTCCGATGCGACAACTACCGATGATCATTCATGTCTTCCCGCCTGTGCCGATTCTTCCCCCTCGAATCGCCCCACTCACAATGCCGCGGGAGATGCTCCTCGCGATCGTACAAAAATCCTCACGTCCGGGACGAATATGCCCAATACTGCTCTGATCAACGTGAGTTCGACGAAGCTACCGCCAGGGAAAAAAACGCGCCAACAATTCTCAGACGTGCCGCGAATAACACGGTAGGACGACACGTTCGTGAAATCTATATTCCGCCGTGGGAAATCGCGTTTCTTCTTCCAAGCACGTCGACGTTTTTTTTCGCGTCTCGTGTTTGCAGCTTGCGGTGGCGGCGCTTTCACTAAACAAGGAGAGCCTCGCGTTTGTTTGGCAGACACCGCACGGTTCGCGTGCCATCCGACTTCTCATAGGCTGCGTTCCCTTTAAGCTTGGTCTGCAATATACCCTTTGCGTCCTGCTTCTTGCTCTCTGTCTCTTTTCCGTGAGTAAATAGAAATTCTTAAGCCTGAACTACAATACGCTCTTTGTTTCTCGCTTCTTGCATCTCTCTTCCATGAGTAAGTAGAAACTTTTACAGAAAAAAAATAGAGAGCAAGAAGCGGAACGCAAAGAGCACATTGTAAGTCAAGCTTTAAGCCTGATCTACAATGTGCTCTTTGTTCCTTATTTCTCGCTCTCTATCTCTTTTTCCATCGGTGTGTCAATTCAGTTCAGTCACTGAAGTGAAGCCAAAGGCACACCGATAAGTAATGTTTCCGAATAGCCTGGGTGTTTCGAAACGGATCGAATAGGATTTAATTAACCAATCAAGAAAGAGCAAAGGTTTCTTTGATCATGATTGGTTAACGTTCGTTATTCCGCCTGTTGAACACGATTTCTGAACGCACCGCAGCGTTTCATTGCGTCAATTGGCGACACTGATCCTTCAAATTCGTGCTGGCCAATAAGAAATCACGAAACATCGCACCGCGTTAGCAGCACTGTTTTCAACGGTTCAAGCACCAATTTGAATAACGACTTCAGTTGCTGTAACGTGCGTGCGTAGATACAGTTGAATTCTCCCGTCGAATTTCTGCGATGTCACATCTCCAACAACGATACAAAAATCCGCGCAGAGGATTTGGCGACGCTGATCATAGTAGATCTGTACGCGCGTACTATCAAGAGAAATCACGCAAAGAAATCAGGACACAGGACTTCGCCAAGAATCGCAAATTGCACGATGTATCGACGCCCACCAGTCCACAACGTGGTAAGTTTGCAAATAATTTTCAATTATTTAATTATACGACTCCTATCGATAATTGGAATGGTAATAACTAGATTTATCATGGTCTTACATCCTCTTCATTCTCAGATTCTTGAATGCTTTATTTATATTCATGTTAATTTCGAACTTATCGAGCAATTAAGAATAAGATATCTGTTATTTTTAGCAGAGGACAAACCTAGGGTTACAGGTGACCGTGCGAAAAAATTAATGAGATGGAAGGAAGAGCGTGATAGGAAAAAGAAATTAGAGAACTCTAAGAAAAAACCTGTATTTAAAGTTGGCGTTGTTCATCATTCCCTCTATTCTCCTGTAGCTAAAATTAATACTGCACCAGATAAAATTGTGAAATCCAGCCAAGCAAAATATTCAAATGATAAGAAACGAATAACAAGAGCTACAGAGAAGAGATTGCTTGCTAAAGCAGCAATGATGAAGCAAAAAGCACCAGCTACAAATAATATAATGCCTGTAAGTTCAACAAGACCTCTGGACATCAAGAAACCAACACCTGATAAGTTTCGGAAATCATTTGCTCCTAATAGTCACAAGTTTAGGCCACCATCTGGATTACCAAAGTTGCCGCTATTCGGTGTTGTAGCGATAGAAGAAACACCTTCAGAAAAAGGTATTTTCTTTGAAAACAAATCAGGAGATCAGACACAACATACAAATGATCAGAAAGATGCATCAGGAAAATTAAATACGCAAGATCTTGATCTTAATGCTGCATCAAATCGGAAAGATTCTGTGGATTCAAAATCGCCAGCAAATAAACAGAAGTTAAATGAATCAGATTCTAATTTAAGCGACAGCACATCTGAACTAAAGGAAACAAAAAATGTATCGTTGAACGAACAGGACATACAAGAGGAAAAATCTTTGTCAACCAATATCGATACGGAGAATTCAGTACAAATGACTCCTAAATTTGATCAATCTTTTATGAAGGAAAACTGTGAAGATCTCATTATGTTTTCGCCATACCTCACGTTAAGTCGTGGTAAAAAGAATGCTAGAAAGGAACAGATGTTAAGGCTTGGCATTAGTAATTCGCCATCAACTGATATCCCAACCAAAAACACGGTAATGAAAAATCTAAACATATCTGTTGAAGAAGAGGAACGCACTGCTCAGTACTTCAAATTTCTCTTGAATAGGGAAATAACTAGACTTAAGGAGCTTTGTACTAAATGGATGAACATCCGACTGGAAAAGGGTGTCCCAGAAGATGCTATGTATGAAATAAGCCAAGCAGTGGGACAGACCAATTTGTTGATGAATAAGAAGTTTGAAAGATTCCGCAATCTAGTGTCGGATTGTGAAACTGGCAAGGGACAAATGCTGGTAACATGCAAGGATTTACAAGGATTTTGGGATATAACATATATGGAAGTCAGGAATTGCGATTTGCGATTTGAAAAATTGGAGCAACAACGTAACAGAGAATGGCAGGAGGAGCAGTCCGCTATTGTCAAGCCTGCAACGAAGAAACGAATGACTACTAAGAAACAAATTGTATCATCAAAGCCAAGTTCATTGCGATCAATAATATTAGCTGCTAGACGAAAGAAGATGGCAGAAACGTCAAATATAGAAGATACGTTGCTGCAAAATCCGAGTATCGGTAAAGAGCATTTATTGCCATCACTGAATAGCAAGAGGTCGATAGCTTTTAAAGAGAACGCCGATATTCGACATACAAGAAAATCCATATCGATAGATGGTTTTAAATCGGCTCCTACCAAACGCGATAGCTTTAAGGCAAATTCGACAAAAATTGAAAAGGTGCAATTTTCCGATAAAATTACGAGAATGAAGAGTCCATTGACAGTTATGAAAATAAGTCAAATGTGTAAGACACCGGAAATTCAATTAGATGACACAATATCGTACATTAATTCCGATCAAACGCCAGGCAAGAGTATATTAAAGAAAACAGAGATTATAGAGAAAAAAGAGATTATAAACAAAGAGATTCGCTTAAGATCCGCGCACAAAGTCTTATTTGATGATCAAGTAGCCTCGACTGAAGCCGATGATAAAGAAACACAAATTAAGAAAAGCTTGAGCGTTGCATTAAATAGAATAGACAGTCTCGAGTTGGATGACATAAGTCCTGAAGAATGCATTAATGTTGAAAGAAAATTGATCTTTGAAACCGAGGACTCAGATAGCACGGACAGTCTTGATTTGTTGCCATCTGAAGTGCAAACACTACTTGAAAAAAAAAGAAACACATCCAAATCATCTGCGTCATATATCCCTGACTCTGATCCACTGGATCCTCTGAAAGACATAACATCTGCGATAGCTCTTAAAGAACCATCGCCAAAAGATAATGTAAAGACTAAGTGTAGGACAAGTTTAAGACGTCGATCTCAACGTAAGAGAGCGACAAACAATGGTAAGATGGAAACTCCATATATAAATATTATGCCTCCAACGCCAGCCAACACTGAGACACCTGTCAATCTGGAAACAACTTTCACCATAGAAAATTTGGAACAAGAACTAGAGGTAGAAGTGAAAACACTGAGAAATAGAACTATTACGATAAATGACACTCCAAAAACTAAAAGAATGAGTAAAATAGTAAGCACTATTGTTTTTATGAGTTTTATAAATTTTTTATTTCAATGTTTATAACATGATATGTATATTTCAATATAAAGTAGTGTATTTTATAAGATATATTTCTAATAAGAACTTTTCTGCACATATTTCTGTAAATATAACTTAATATGTATTTAACTTGACATATACTTTAATATATATTTAATATAATCCTTCAATTATAAATCGAATCTAACTATTAAAATATTATTTTTCTCACAGATGACCCCGAAGAAAGAAAGTGATAGTAAAAAGGAGAATGAGAGTCCTGTGAAGTCAAATAGAAGGAAGTCGTTAAAGTTATCGCAAATAGATGAAGATGTAAAAAATGTAGAGATTAACAAGAATAGTTTCAAAAAGAGAAGATCGTCCCGGAAAAGTGTTGCGTTTAATGGTAAAATTTTTAGATCATAAAACAAGATAATCATAACAACTGCACATAATCATTATAACTGCACGTGCATTTACAATCGTACATTTATTATAAAATAATCTAAGAATTTTACAGTTGAAACATGTTTGATTTGCGCTGAAAATAAACCAGTATTACCTATGACTCCTCATTCGAAACGTGGGACACCATCGAGACAAAGTCGAAGCAAACGTGTGTTTGATGAAAACCTTTCATTGCAGAGAACGCCAAGATGTAAGTCGTAATCATAACGTACAAAGGAATGTAATACTATATACGATAACTTGTACTAATCGAAATTTATTTCAGCTCTTAGTCGGGTTACGAGATCTCATACGAAAAATTAAATCTGCCTGGCAACAGTATACTGTTTGTAAACTAAATAACCTTGATTGGTATATGTTACATTGTATATGTACGTGTTTATTTTATTATTTTATACTAGACGTATTAGATTATTTGTTTATTGTAAGTATATAATTGTAAGCTATATTTTTTAATTAATATTGATTGAGAGAATAAAGAACAACTCTCCCAAGGTCGCGTAACATGAAACTTCACTCGTTCTCTGAACAGTAGAACATCTCTATCCTGCAAAAATTGCATTCAACTTGTGTCAAGCCCATATCAGACTACAAATTGAGTATTGCAATCAGACCAATGATATAGATTAAAAGCAAGATTTAGATTACCTAATTGGACCGATTAACATAAGGGGAACATAAAGGTACTTCGTATCCGGTCCATGACCTCTCCTATTCTCTTCTTTGCTTTTAAGATAATTGATACGTCAAATCATTTTCTTAAGAATCTCTAATCTATAATCTGAACGCCATCTTGGCGTTCTGAACTTGACAGCGACTTCAAAAGCACATGATTTCCTGTAGCCAAGATAAATTTAAATTTAAATATGTACGAAATATTGATATGCACAAAGATGTGCATATCAAATACGCAAACCAAGAGAAAGAGAAAGAAAATAACGTATTATTAACTAAAAAAATTTACGAACATTAGCTATGTAATTTATTGTATTGTTCGTGTTTTATGAACATAAAGGTACTTCGTATCCGGTCCATGACCTCTCCTATTCTCTTCTTTGCTTTTAAGATAATTGATACGTCAAATCATTTTCTTAAGAATCCTTTTAAATTTTAGCTGCATATTGGTGAAAATATTACCTACATCTGTAAAATTAGAAAACGATTGATCATTCGGAAGCTGAAATATTCGCTGAAGATGACACTTTTTATATTTATTTTATATGTGTTAAGGGAATATTTTAATCTAGATATCTATTTTCAAGCTGATTTTTGGGAATTAAAATAAGAAAAAACTATTAAAGCTACAGAGCTTGGGGTTTTACATGGATATTATTCATGTTTGAAATAATATTCCAAATTTTTATAAATCATTGTATTAAAAATTATATGAACTAAAGATCAACGCACAAACCGTATCGCGAAATATGCGTTTAATCAGACGTATTGATTGCATGTTCTAATTACTCGAAATAAACATATAAACATTTTTTGCAATCTATATGAGTGTAGCTGTCACTGGAACCTTGAAAAGTTAAAGTATGAATATTTTTAACGAAATTGTAATTATTGACAAATTTAGGTTCGTTTTTTTCGCAATACATAATTTTGTATAACAAATATATATATATATATATATTTATTTATTTATTTATTTATATTTATATATATTTATATATTATTAGGTGGTAAACTTAGTTCCTGCGGTTTTTTTGTTTAAAAAACTCATTTATTTCGACATCAAAAGCAAAAAATACATTAATCGAAGTATTTTCCCTCGCTAGCTATACATTTTTCCCATCTTTCGGGCAACGCGTAGATTCCGCGACGATAGAACGATTGGTCTTTTGATGCAATCCATTCGTCTATCCATTTTCGCACATCCTCGTAATTTCTGAAGTGTGTATCCACCAAGCCGTGCTGCATCGACCGGAACAAGTAATATTCCGAAGGAGCTAAGTCTGGTGAATACGCTGGGTGCGGGAGAACTTCCCACTCGAGCTGCATCAGTGTTTCTTTGACGGCTTTGACAACGTGTGGTCGAGCGTTGTCGTGCAAAAGCATGACCTTACGTCGATTGCTGGCTATTGCTGGCCTTTTTTCCAACAATGCTTCATTCAGACGGTTTAATTGTGATTGATATTGATCCCCCGTGATACTTTCGTTCGGTCTCAATAGCTCATAATAAACGACGCCGTGCATATCCCACCAAATGCAAAGCATTGCTTTGTGGCCATGAATATTTCTCTTTGGTGTGGATGTTGATAGTTGGCCAGGGTCTACCCATAATTTTCTTCGTTTAGGATTATCGAAGTATATCCATTTTTCATCGCCAGTCACTATGCGCCACAAAAAACTCTTCTTTTTCTGCCTGGCGAGCAGAGAAATAGAGATGTTTAAGCGATTCGCAATGGCATTTGCGGTTAATTCGTGTGGTACCCATTTTCCCTCGTTTTGAATTTTTCCCATTGCATGTAGATGTTTGGAAACAGCCATCGGAGTAACATTTAATGCTGCAGACAATTCTTGGAGCGTTTGAGTAGCGTTTTTGTCCAATAATGCCTGCAAATCGGTCTTGCGACTTTTGTCTTTAAACTTTTTCGGTTGGCCTGAGCGTTCTTTATCATTGACATCAAAATCACCAATCTTAAATCGCTGAAACCATACTTGGCATGTTCTTTCCGATGGAGCATAATTGCCATAAGCTTCGAAAAGCAATTTATGAGCTGCAGTTGCAGTTTTTTTTCAAGTCAAAGTAATGAAGCAGCACATGTCAAAAAAACAACTTATCGCGTTCCATATTTAATCAAAAGAAAAAATAGCACTGCTCGCTTAAATGAATCTCTTCGCACTGAATTTTATTGACAAATGTCTAACCTCTAAAATGCAGCCAGTTTCAGATGTCAAAATAAATTACATCTACAACTAACGTCATCTAACTGTGAGCCGCAGGAACTAAGTTTACCACCTAATACTTTCTATTAATGTACATCTTTTTTAGCTGAACTGATAGATAAAGCATTAATAAGAAACATCTTTTTTAGCTGAACTGATAGATAAAGCATTAATAAGAAAAATAAAAAATAAGTCATATCTCCGTGTTTGTAATATTGTGTATATATTTGTTTTAATTTCGCTCAAAATTAATATTTATTGCTTAGTTAAATAAATTTAATGAGAAGTTTTTTTCAGCAAATAAACTGATGAAGGCTCTGGAATATCGCCACTGGAAACCCGGCATTATACCGGGCCACTACTTGAACGACATCTGCTTTCAGTTAAATTCAATGATTATAAATCTTTGAATAGTTTTATAAATATTATTTTTTTATGATCTACTCAAACGTGAAAACTTTGGACAATGGCTGTTTCTACGGACGTTGCTACGGTGCGCGTTCCCTATAAATTTATTTACTTTATATATATTATAAAATATGTGAACACTGTTTCATACTTTGAGAGATAACCTCCAAAGCAAAACAAGCCCCCTCGTGTGATTTAAGAAGGTATACAAAAGGAGCTCACTTCATATTATGTTTTATCTTTTAGATCAGAGCACAAAGATACTTAAATGCACCGTTAGTGGAACGATGCAAGGATCTGGCTATACTGATAGATGAGTCGAGCACAACTGAGCTGCAACTTGTTTTTCCTCTGCTGATAGATTCTTTATTTGGAATAACGGACAATATCGGATGGGGTCTACGTAATGTTACACTCCAGAGAAACCCACAAGAGTATGAAGCTCTCTGCAATTTTCTCGGCCCTCAAGGGCCGATGTTCTCTTTGTGCTACAAACTACTTCCAGACTGTTACCTGAAATATAATTTCCCAGTGTCATATCTTCCAGTAAGTCTAATAGTTTGTTTTATGCTGAATATGTGTATATATATATATATATATATATATATGTATGTGTTTAGATATGTTATAGTTTTTATTCTTACAAATTTCTTAATATTTCTCTTTTCAGTCAAAAATACGCTCCTTGTTAGAGGAAGCTGTAATATCACCATTTTATCTTGACAAGATCAAAGATGATCAAGGAACACGTGTCCCATCAGTTTTATCCATGAGTATCCTTTACTAGATATTGTATATTTACCATGCTATACATATAACGGTACTTTATTAATGAGAAATGTTCCTTAATGTTGGCACATATCCCTTTGAATATTACATTTTTCATTTCGCATACCATTTGACCAATCCTTGGCTGCAACTTCTACAACGAGAGAATGTATGGGTAAATTGGGAAACCGTGTATGTTCAGTTAGCGCACTGCTATTTATATCATTTTCTTCCGAGAGACAATACTGCAGTTCTACCAGTGATTGGGCCGTATGTCAAGAAAACTCCTCCGAGAAAATTGACTCAGTCACCGGAATACAAGAGGTAAGGGGATACAATTTGTCGCAAAACACAAGTCAAATATAAAGTACGTTATATATTTATACGTCCTAAATTTCAATCAGAGATTGTCATAGATTACAAACTCCAAGACTTTTGAGAACGTCCATATTATCGCCAGGATCGATGAGTCCTGGGGCGGGAGTGTCGCAACAACAGTGCTTACCCCAAGTGTGGAGAAGTGAGACTGTGGTGCAGGTTTTTCTAGACTTTTGGCTGGAGTACACGGAAGATGAACAGCTGACTTCTCCATTAAGTGTGGCATTTATGGCATCGATGCCACGACGAGTAAGTCCCTTCGTGCAACGAATGAAATCCAGAGTGAAATACGACATACGTGAAAACAATTTCTAATTTCAGCATAGTGTACATTCTGGAGAACATATACGCCTTGTGCGAGCGTTCATAAAAACACTACATGAATTTACAAATAGCGCTACCGGAGACAAGAGCGCGATGGATGAGTTGAAAAGGTACCGAGGCATTTCAAATATATCTTACATTCCGCTACCTTTTGCTACTATGTTTCTTCTTAATGTTATTTTCTTATTGTATCCTCTCCGCCAGAATAATTCTTCCCTCGGTTCAGGGAAAGATATATACATTTCTGCGAAAAGCTATATATCATTGGCCATTGGACAGTTCGTTTAGATTAATACTGGAAGCTTGGTTAAGCTTCGTCCAGCCGTGGAGATATGTTCCAGGAATAACATATACTAAAGAAGGGTATATGCTTTATTCACGTCACCCTCAAAGGCTATCCTTTGACCCCGCAATTAAAGAATTTCCTTTAACGCTTACAGTAAAGCAGAGGAGGAAGAAAGAGGCAAAATCCACGATATCGACAGGTGGATCGCTTTCGTTGCTAACAATCTGTTGGCGTATACGGCTATATTCCAACAATTGCTCCCACGATTCATGAGGACTGATCTGGTAGCGCCCAAGAATGCTTTGATGTTATTCAGAGTCACAAAAGTATGCTCATCTCTCACGACAATATAATTCTCTCTCTCTCATACTTGAAGATACATCTATTTGCTCGACTTTATCACGGTATGTATTCGCTATTACGCAGGTATTTTCGCAGCCGCATTTAGCAAAAATGATATCCGAGGTGGAGAGCTGCATGGACGACGTAGGCTTAAGCAGAGGCCGGTTATCTACCAATCAGTGGACCTCGATTGTCAGACAACAAATTCTCGAATTGGAAGGTCCGACTTATCAATACGTGCCTATGTTTTCATCGGCCATCACTTCACAGGTGTCAATCACTTTTTCATTCGAATTGAATCGGCTACTACTTACCGGTTTTAATCGATGGATCCACTCGAGATGGACTCGTTGAGAGCATATATGTTACAGATTGTATGGTTTTTGAGCACCATTAAGCAAGCGCATCTAACGGCGACCAGTTTGATCGAGGCTCTGGAAAACAGGAGGAAAGGGAGGCCTCTTTTCTTTTCTATGTTGGAGTTCTTCTCTTGCGACGATTATTCCTTGGACGACATCGGTATAGAAGAGCGACGACGCGTTCCTGTGTTCCTGGTCAATGCCCAACAGCAGCTCATAGATATATTTCAAGTGAATAGATCTCTTATCAATGCTGGTCCGCATTTCTCTTTCTCTGTGTCTTAAACGGTTTCACACGCGACTACGACTACTGTTGCAGATCAAACTCGAGGACATTCCGCAAGTCGCTATAGTGGCGGATCAAGAATATCACGACAGCATTTTGTCGACTTCCTTCTGCCAACAGTCACAGGTACGGCTTATTTCCATTTCGGGTCGTTTACAAAGGGTACGTCTCGCGGAGTTCTCCATTAATCAGACGCGAATGATGTTCAGACGGAACCTAGCCTCGATTCGAGTAAACCGGGTGTTTTTGTGCCGCTGCAAGAGGGTAGGCAAACGTGCCGGTACATCGAGTACATGGGCGACCCGGAGTTGCAGCCGGTACGGACGTACGAGTGCGCCTTTCTCGTTAGAAATTTCTACAAGCTGTGCTGCTACATCAATCACAAGGTATCGCACACGCGTATTCCTAATCACTTGAGCGCCTGGAAGCGTGATACGACATTGTTATGCGATAGTTTAACATAATTACTCTGCTTTTTTCGTGTTTCTTGTGCACATAGATCTTGCGTAAATGTAAGTGCGATTTAAATGTGAGTGCAATGAACGCACACTATTTTGTTTTATCATATTTAGCGGAAAATCTAACCAAAAGATCTATACAAATTTTTCTCCAAAATTTTCACATCTCTTTTCAGTGAAATGCTATGCAATGCATTTTTTTCTAATTCCTCTATATTTACTCACAGCAATCGATCCCACTTGCTATTCTATGTACAAAAATGCTAACGTGATATTATCGAAAAATGAATACTTTACGAGATATTTCATATTTTAAACTGAAAAATATCAAATTAAAAAGTGAAATATCTCACATTCGTTTTTCGATAATCTAACTCTAGTATTTTTATATGCAGAAAAAACAGAGGAATCGATTTGTGTTTAAAAAAAAAAAATACATGATTCAATTTTTAAAAGTGAAGTTGACCTTGAAATGACCTTCAATTATTGAATATAGAACGAAGTTAAGGTCACTTATGTCCCTCAAAACCCTATATATAATCTTTGTCTGAACTATTTTTGTTTTGTTAATTCGTTCTCAAGATATCCCATTGTTTCCATTAAAATTGGACACCTTATATATAATAATTCTGTATAGTCAAATGTAAACTTTGTAGAATGAAGTCGATATTTTGCCGGTGAAATTGTCAAGTGTGACCTTTAAAAAAACGACTAAACGTGCAATCATACATAAGTTCTTGACTATAATTCATAATTCGCCCGTAGTATCAGCACGACATAACCGCGCTGTACAGCAGACGGAGCTTCTTCGGCACTGTTTGTCGGCAACTGCTCGTGCCGCCGACCACGGTCGTCAAGTTGCCGAAACGAACGCCGTACGGATTCACCAGCGGCTGCGAGGAACGGCTGCCGGCCCGTTTAAGTTTACGACCCTTGGCCAGTTACACCTTCCTCTTGGTTGTGATGCTCGGCATATTCGCAACATGGATTTTCAAGTACTTGAAAACTTACGTATAATGCTTCCATTGCATGTTACGTGTCGTTAAATCAAACCAGGTGCTTTAAGAATATTTTCCTTCACACAGCTACAGCCCGTTCGCATTTCTGGGATTCGCATTCTGGGTGTGGATTATGTACATAATCATGCGTGCGATCTTGCAACATTATTTCCTACCAGGCTCAAATACCACCAGATCGAGCGCAGACACGTACCTCGTTAACCGATAACACTTTCGGTTTCCGACAGTTATATATGTAACAACTAAACTACTTTCATAATTTTATATGCTATGATTATATGTAAGCTACTGCTCCAAGAACAATTGTGTTTACATTTACGGATTTATTTATAATCATGTGGCGCAAAGAGGGAACGTTTGTTATATAAACACGAGAAAAGAATAGGAAAAAAGAAAGGTAAAATAAAAATAAAAATGATACCTAATCGCGCTATACTTTCTTCCTTCCTGGCCGTCAACCTCGCCCCGTTGTGCATATCTTGCCGACAAATTAGCTAAGAAAAATTGCTTTATTCCCTCATGTGAGGGGAAAGTCGTCTAAATGTAGCGCCAATTAGACGTAATTTTTGCTTACCGCGCACAGGACTCGTGATGAGTAATGGAACAACGAGCTCTATACCTTTCTCACACGAATCAAGGTTGCCGTTTGCTCGAAACGTATGGCGTTATCAATTATTAATTCATCGATCGTCCCGCGCGTTTGTGCACACGCGCATCCATACCAAAGGCGCCGAAACGACTGCGGCATGCGCACTTCTTGCGCACTAACGGGAAGGCCTAATCAACTCGATGAGCACACCGAGAAAAATAAGCCGTCGTCTCATTAGACAAATTAAATCTGAAAACTGGTCGCGAATCCTCGATCGATGAAGCATCGGGTATGCAGCTAAGAGGATTAAAGCTCGATGCGCAAAATACACCGACGCGATGCGCGAAATACACTCGCGCACGCCACCGATCCCTTTAATCATGAAATGAATAAAGGATTTCACGATTTAATCGTGAAATGATTAAAGGATTTCAACGATTTAATCGTGAAATAATTGGCGCATCGATGACCGAACTGATCGCTGCGTCGCATCGGCGGCGAATAGAATCTAAAAAAGGTCTTTCACTTTCTACTTATCGCCTCCCTCCTTTCTGAATAATTAGTAACACCAGTCAATATAAAAATTGTATCTTGTATCTAAACCGCCAATTCTAGTTAATTTTGTAGCGCTGATCACAAATATAACAATTAAAATTGAAATAATCCTAATTTCCAATATATAAAACAAAAGAGAATTTGATATTTGGAGCTTTCGTGATGCGAAAAGAAAATGTCTTGAAAATCATTTCTGTTGAAGCTAATTTTTTATTTTGAGGTGATGTATATGGCAATCTTGCATGAGTGTATGAATAAGATATGTGTTTTAACTCCCTCTGTCGAAAGATAGAGACTATTTCTATTCTTTCGTTTTGTGTGTGTGTGTGTGTGTGCGTGCGTGCGTGTGTGAAATTCTTTATTTTGAAATTGTTAAAAGACCTAATGTGACATTTAAAAGAAATTTTAATTTTTCTGACAGTCAGAAAAGAATCATAAAAATCAGAAATTATAATAAAAAATATGTTCTGTTGTTTTATTTTCATACTTTGTATTATTAATTTGCAAAAATTAAAATATAGTCTATTTCTTGAACTATAGCTAAATAATTTTTTATTGTCATTTTCTTTTTCAATACATAAACATAAATAAAAAAAATTCAAATTCAGAAAGGATGGAACTTATAATACGAAGTTTGTCGAGTGTAATCAAAAATATTTTCATCGACGAATATATTTGTTTTCCATACATATACTGTATATATATAAACGTTTATACGCACGTGTATGCGAACGAATATGTAATCATTTATTTATCAAGAGAGAAAGAGAAAGAGGGAGAGAGAGAAAAGAGAAAAGTAGCACGTTGATTTATAATCTCTACAGCCGGCCTGTAATAAAAGTAAAGCATACAGCGAACCCAACACCGCGTGCGCGTTACGCACGTGGAAGTAAGCTTTTAATTGGACGTTTTTAAGTATCACACCGGGTGTCCACACATCCTTACGACGCCCCGACGCTCTTACACGCGTCTTTCCTGCGTTCGTAAAGAAAGTAAAACGGTCTGATTTATTTACATTTATACTAAATAAGGCTGATATTACTCCTTACGAGCCACACTTTGTCTTCGCCTCGTTAAACCCGCTCGAACGTCTTTACGAGCCACCTTGCTACATTCGGGCATGATTATTTATGCAATTAGAAACCGATTGTTCGCATTTTCGTTTATTTTTCTCACGAACATTTCAGCTGCAAATTAATTGCAATCTTTGATTGGGAACAAAATTGATTACGAATTTATGAGTCTTTAGCCAGAGAGATTTCACAAAGCTATAATAATTTATTGAAATAATAATAATGTGGATTCTCACAAATAGAACAGAATATCACGATAACGTCAAATTGATGAGAAAATGACTGTGAAAACTCACTTTTCGATTATTTTTTCATTATTTTAGCGTCATTATTTTCTATTTTACCTGGGTTATGAATATCAGTCTGAATTTCGATTCAGGTATCTTCTTATTCCTGGTAGTTAACAAACACCAACCAACAATACCAAGTAACATCATAACAATGTTATAATTTTCCATTCCATAATTTAATTATATTAACAGTTATATATAACTGTTATATACAATACATGTTTTATATTATACTTATATTGTTGAGTGGGAAACTGTAAAAATTGATGTAATGTTACTATTAGTTGATGTTTACTAAGTAATCCAGAAAAAAATGTCCTATATATATATATCATATATATTATGATATATAATTATATATAACCATAAAAAATTATATAGAAAAATATAAAATCGTGTATAATTCTTTATATGATTACATATAATTTTACACAATTATAATTTTCCTTCAACTAATATTTATTTACTTCCTCCATATTTCCGCATT